GCAGTGAGCGGCCCTCCAGAAGCCGGCGACTGATGTGCCTCGTCCGGGAAGAGCGCAATAATGGTGCCAACTTGGGCAAGTGAAGCAACGTCCTCCACAACTAGACTGAAGAACAAAACGACAGCAACTTGTCTGTTCCCCTTTCCCCAATTCCCCAGTGCTGTTCCCATCCCCTAATTCCCCAATTTAAAAAAATCTTTAAAAAAAAAAAAGAATGCCCTTCTTGCTGTACTGAATGGTGTTTGAGTCAGGGACTATGAGCTCTTTACGGGTTGTGTTCATATCTACCTCCATTATGCTCCCACAGTATCTCTACGTTGTCTTTCATAAAGTAAACACTAATTATTTCCCTCAACTTATTCTGCAAAATTTCAAATCTATAGAACAGTGAATATTTTTAAATATTTTCTCTGGAGGGTTCTTAATTATGTTCCATCCATCATCTGAAAGCCATTCCATCACTTCCCCTTTACCATGACTTTAGTTAGATGCCAATTAACATGGATTTGCCCCTAATGCTTACTTAGTCAGCTTTCCAAAAAGGAAAAAGTTACAAAGCTCCTAGTTCTGGGAAAAGCACAATGATTTTCAGAAGACCAGAGACGGGGAGGAAGCCAAGCCACTAATGAGTTATGGGATAGTCAGGGTTTGGGGAAGGTTAATGTAGAGAAATTTAAAGTAAATAAATAAGGAATTAGTTGTGCTCCTTTCCTGTTCCACTCTGCTTCAGCTTTAAACAGCCACAGTCTCACCCCTTACCCTGTTGGTCAGGTACTGCTGCATGTACACATGTTTAATCTCATCCCTCTTCATAATCTCCAGCTCCACATCAGTTGGGTCTGCTTTTTCAAATTCCAATATCTTTGGAATCTCTAGACTTAAAGATAACATCTTTGACGATCTATACAATGAATCACGTGTTGTCAAATCCCCATCCTTTCCAGAACAGACTCTGAGGAATCCTCCACCTTCGGCTGTAGACCCAGTCTGTTCCACCTGAGGGGCCTTTTCAGCCTCACTTTTCATCAGCTGTTTCTTAAAAGCTAGGAGAGTTTTCTCATCATAGTGAAATCTCTTTTCAGGAACTTCTTCCGGGTGTATCTGAGGGACTTGGGGAATGGGGATGTGCTTGGATATGTGAAGAACTGACTGAATATTCTTCATCTCTTGTACCAGGCATTGTATTTCCTCGATGACAGCCACTTTAAGGTCTCGAAGAGAGAGAATGCACTTGTTCATGTGCGTTTTCTTTGAATAGGTCTGATAAAAAGAACAGAAAGGAAGAAAAATGACAACCCACTCACAAAGGACAGTTTCAAATATTTGCTTTTGTCCCTTGACTAGTACATCTAACAAAAATTCCAGATAAAAATGTACCTGATCATTCTTATTACTGCTAAATTATTCTTTTCTCTGGTTTTTTAGGCTTTTCCCCATTCATCCTATCCAAAAGGGGGAAACAGTCTTGATGTGAACTCTGGTATCCCTCAGCTGGCTTGTAGGGCTAAGTTCCCCTGTCCTCCCCTCCCACCACTAAATGGAAGTCCTTCCTAAAGGACTGTACTCAGCCAGGTCCCAGGAAGGGGAGGGTCATTCTTTGGTCAGGAAGACACAAGTAACTGCCCCCTTTCCTGGTGGGGACTCAAATCCTGTTGGCTTAGACTCACTTAGGGTTGCCTACCTAGGAAGATAAGTAAATAACCTGATAAAAAAATTAAAAGTAATGGATGTGAAGATATTCATTGAATCTGGGAGAAAAATAGATGAAAACAGAATTACAACAAAGTGATAAAAAAATATATAAGAAAGTACCAAAGAGAAGTCAAAGAGCTTAAGAAAACAATAACTTAACTGGAAAATACACTAGAGGGGTTAAATAGCAGACCAGATGATGCAGAAGAACAAATCATTGATTTGGAAGACAAGGCAGTAGGACTCATTCAGAGCAGAAAATAAAAAAACCCCAGAATTTTAAAAAGTGAAGATATGATATTATGGATGGATCTTGAGATTATTATGCTAAGCAAAATAAGTCAGACAGGAAAAAGTCAAGAACCATATGGCTTCACTCATACATGGGATGTAAAACTGAAAGCAGCAAAGTAACAAGACAAACAAACAAAGAAGCAAAAACTCAGACACAGACAAGAGTTTAGTGGCTACTGGAGGGCAAGGAAGGAAGGGGTGATAGAAGAGGGTAAAGGGGGTCAAATATATGGTGATAGAAGGAGAACTGACTCTGGGTGATGAACACACAATGCAATATATAGATGATGTATTATAAAAATGTACACTTGAAACCTATATAATTTTACTAACCATTCTAATCCCAATAAATTTAAATTTTTTTTAAAAAGCAAAGATAGCTTAAGGGACCTATGAGAACATCCAGTGGAATAACATTCACATTATAGGAGTCTCAGAAAGAGAAGAAGGAGAGAACGGGGAAGTTATTTGAAAAAATAATAGCTGACGACTTCCATAACCTGGGGAAGGAAGCAGACATCTAGGTCCAGGAAGCACAGAGAATTAAAGAAAAGATGAACCCAAAGAGACCCACACCAAGATGCATTATAATTAAAATGTTAAAAGTTAAAGACAAAGAAAAAAAATCTTAAAAGCAGCAAGAGAAAAACAACTTGTTACATACAAGAAAACCCCTATAAGACTATCAGATAATTTCTCAACAGAAACTTTGTAGGCCAGAAGGGAGTAGTATGTTGTATTCAAAGTGCTGAAAGAAAATACTTCCAACTAATACTCTACCTGGCAAGGTCATCATTCAGAATTGAAGGAGAGGTAAATAGTTTTCTAGACAAGCAACACCTAAAAGAGTTCACCACTACTAAACTGGTTTTGCAAGAAATATTAAAAGACTTCTTTAAGCTGAAAAGCAAAGGCACTATCTACTAATAAAAAAACATATGAAAGTAAAAACCTCACTGGTAGAGTTAAATATATAATAAAGGTAATAGATTAACTACTTATAAAGCTAGTATGAAGGTTAAAAGACAAAAGTAGTAAAATTATAATTAACAATAATTAGTTATGGGATATACAAAAGATGTATAACATGACATTAAAAAATATCAAATGTGGTGGGGGGAGTAAAAATGTAGAATTTTCAGAATGCATTCAAAATTTATATAGATATAGATAGATATAGATATATAGATATAGATATAGATAGATATTTATATGTGAGCCTCAGGATAAACACCTAGCAAAAACCTAGAATGGATACACAAAAGATAATGAGAAAGCAATCTAAACATAAATTTAAAAAATCATCAATCCACAAGGGAAGAGAGCAAGAGAAAAAGGGAATTACAAGAACTGCCAGAAAACAACAAAATGGTAATAGCTACATACTTATTAATATTTACTTTAAATGTAAATGGACTAAATTCCCCAAAGAGATACAGAGTGGAGAAATGGATTAAAAAAAAAAGGCTCATCTATACATTGCATACAAGAGACTCACTTCAGAACTAAGAACTCACACAGATTGAAAGTGAAAGGATAGGAAAAGATATTCCATGTAAAGAGAAATGAAAAGAAAGCTGGTGTAGCTATACTTACATAGACATTGACACAAAGACTATAATAAAAGACAAGGGCATTATATAATGATTAAAGGGGGTCAATCTAACAAGAGGATATAACATTTGTAACACTTATACACCCAGTGTAGGAGCACCACCAAAATATATAAAGCAACTGTTGACAGACCTAAAGGGAGAAACTGACAGCAACACAATCATAGTAGAAGACTTTAATACCCCACTTACATCAATGGATAGATCATCGGGACAGAAAAATCAATATGGAAACATAGGTTGTAAACAATGCATCAGACCAGATGCACTTAATATATATTTAAGACACTTTCATATAACACACTGATAAAAGAAATTGAAGCAGTACATGGAAAGACATTCTGAGATCAGGGATTGGAATAATAAACATTGTTAAAATGTCCATACTATCTAAAGCATTTGGAATATTCTTTCCAAATACAGAATACACATTCATTTAAAGTACACATTGAACATTCTACAGGATACATCACATATCAGGCCACAAAACAAGTCTCCGTAAATTTAAGATTCAAATTACATCAATCATCTCTTCTGATCACAATGGTATAAAACTAGAAATTAATTACAATAAGAAAACTGGAAAAATCACAAATATGTGAAGATTAAGCAACATGCTACTCAACAACCATGGGTCAATGAAGAAATCAAAGGGGAAATAAAAAAGTACATGGAGACAAAAGAAAATGGAAATACAACATTTCAAAACCTATGGGATAAATAAAAAGCAATTCTAAGAGGGAAGTTCGTAGCAATGCAGGGCTACCTCAAGAAACAAGAAAAATCTCAAATAAGCAATCTAACTTTACACCTAAAGGAACTAAACAAACAAACAAAAGAATAAGAAGCAATGCTCAAAGTTAGCAGAAGAAAGTAAGTAATAAAGGTCAGAGAGAAAAATGAAACAGAGACTGAAAAAAACAATAGAAAAGCTCAATGAAACTAAGAGCTGGATCTTTGAAAAGATAAACAAAATTGACAAACCTTTAATTAGACTCACCAAGAAAAAATAGGAAATGAAACAAAAGTTACAATTGATACCCCAAAATAAAATACAAAGGATCATAAGAGACTACTATTATACACCAACAAATTGGACAATCCAGAAGAAACGGATAAATTCCTAGATATATACAATCTTCCAAGTCTAAATCAAGAATAGAAATTTTGAATAGAGTGATTACTTATAAGGAGATTAAAACAGTCATTAAAAAAACTCCCACCAACGTGGATACCTCGGGCGGTCACTCTCCCCGGACTCTGTCCAGGTGGCGCAGGGAAGCATAGGACTTTGTCCAATGATGTTAAAAAAAAACTTCCAACAATATTTTTCATGATTATCTAGAATAATGCCCCCTTTCTACAAATGAGGGAACTGAGGCATAGATAAACATGAAGGACGTCTCCAGTTCTAAATTTCTATGACTATATGTCCTATGGACCAGATAGCGAAATGGGTGGTTTTAGAATTCAATTAAAAACACAGGTGCCTCTCATTGTCATACAAGCTGTGGATAAGTACCATAGCGTCTAGCTGTCCCAGTTCCTCTTCCTTCTTGGCAGCATTTATTCTCATGTGCTCGGGTATCTTATAGTCTGGGGCTGTCTTCAGATTGAAGTCTCCCATATACACCTGAGCCTCTTTGATAGCTTGAATATCTTTGGGATCTTCATAGTCCTCATCAGGTTTACTCTTGTACCTAGGAGAAAAATAGGTAACCCAGCCATAAATATAACCATAAACTCTAATTTGTCTAGTTTACTATAGGTATATAATCAAATTCAATCATGAAGCAAATGTTAATTGGATTTTTTATAACATAAGTGTTGTCACAAAATTTGTCATAATATTTTCCAAAAAGGCCTCTCATTCAAAATGAACATACTAGTATGTATTTGCTATCCCCTCTCTCCCCGAATTCCATGGGAATCATAGTATAGAGATAGTAAAGGGACTAAGTTATTATGTGTGCTGAGAATGGGATAGAAAGCCATGAGCAAACCAGTGACAGGGGTACATTTCTAGAAGACAGAAGATGAAATTATGTTACTGGATAAACCAAACCAGAGAAAACTGTAGCCCAGAACACTCCCAGGAGGTACATGAAAAAGAGCTCAACATCACAAATGATGAAGAAAATGCAAATTAAAACCACAATGAGATGTCACCTCACACATGTTAGATGGTTATTACCAAAAAGAGAGATAAAAGCTGGCAAGGATGTGGAGAAAAGGGAACCATTGTGTATTGTTGATGGGCATGTAAATCGGTGCAGTCACTATAGAAAACAGTATGGAGGTTCCTTAAAAACTAAAAATAGAACTACCATATGATCCAGCCATCTACTTCTGGTTATTTATCCCCCCCAAAAAATGAAAACATTAACTCAAAAAGATATATGTAACCCCATGTCCACTGCAGCATTATTTATAACAGCAAAGATATGGAAACAACCTAAGTGTCCTTCGATGGCTGAAAGGATAAAGAAGATATGGCATATGCACAATGGAATATTATTCAGTGATAAAAAGATGCAATCTTGCCATTTGCAACATGGGTGGACCTTGAGCACATTATGCTAAGTGAAATAAATCAGACAGAGAAAGCCAAACACCATATGATCTCACTTACATGTGGAATATTAAGAAATAAAACAAGTTGATAGACACAGAGAAGAGATTGCTGGTTGCCAGAGGTAGGGGGTAGAGGGTGCGTAAAGTGGGTGAAGGGAGTCAAAAGGTGCAAACCTCTAATGTAAAAAAAATAAGTCATGGGGATGTAATGTACATCATGGTGACTATAATAATATTATATTGCATATTTGAAAAATCACTACGAGAATGCATCTTAAAAGTTTTCATTACAAGAAAAAAATCCTGTAACTATGTATGGTAATGGATGCTAAGTAGACTTATCTTGGTTATTATTTACAATATGCACAAATATCAAAACACTATGTTGTACACCTGAAACTAATATAATATTGGATGTCAATTATACCTCACACATTTTTTTAAAAATAGAAAAGATCAATGAGACTGTTTTTTTTAAAGATAATCAAAACTGGCAAACCTTTAGCTAGACTCTCCAAGAACAAGAGGCAATGCAAATAAAATCAGAAATCAAAGAGGAGACATTACAGCTGATACCACAGAAATACAAAGGACAAGAAGAGACTAATATAAACAATTACCTACCAACAAATTGGACAATTTAGGAAAAAATGGATAAGTTCTTACAAACATACAACCTACCAAGACTGAAACATGAAGAAATAGAAAATCTGAACAGGCCAATTAAGTAAAACAATTGAATCAGTAATCAGAAGCCTCTCAACAAGCAAAAGTTCAGGTCAAGATGGCTTCACTCATGAATTCTACAAAACATTTAAACAATTATTACAATTTCCTTCTCTTCCAAAAAAGAGAAGGGAAGGAAACACTTCCAAATTCATTTTATGAAACCAGCATTACCCTGATACCAAAACCAGACCAGGACAATACAAGAAAATTCCAGCAATATTTTTTAAAGGATAATATGAGTACACAATGATCAAGTAAAATTTATCCTAGGAATGCTAATTTAGCATTTGAAATACATCATGTTGACCCACAATATTAAAGAATAAAATTTTTAAAATGATCATCTCAATGTACATATGGAAGTCATTTGATAAAATTCAACACCCATCCTTGATTAAAAAATAAATTTAAAAACCCTTTCAACAACTAGGAATAAAAGGAAATTTCATCAGTGAATAATCTGCTTCTAAAAGGCCAACATTACATTTCATAATAAAAGATTGAATGCTTTCTTCTTAGCTGGGAGTAAGACCGAGATATTCCCTTTCACCACTTTTATTTGACATTGTAGTGCATATCCTAGACAACAATGAGTCAAGAGAAAAAAAGGCACAGAGATTGGAAAGGAAAAATCTGTCTTTACCCCATGCAACATGATCATATTCATAAAAGACTGTAAAGAATCTGCAAAAGAAGCTACTAGACTTAATAAATGAACTGAGCAAAATCACTGGGTTAAAGGTAAATATGCATAAAGAAATTAATTGAGAGAACTTCTACTTCTAGAAAGATGGAATAAACCTACAGTTTCTATTTTTCCTGGTAAGTACAAATAAAAACCTTGGACATTATATACAAGACAAACATAAAGATTCAGAAATGTGGGTGGTAGATGAGGGTAAAGGGGATCAAATACATGGTGATGGAAGGAGAACTGACTCTGGGTGGTGAGCACACAATATGAAATACAGATGATGTATTACAGAATTGTACACCTGAAATCTTATGTACCTTTGCTAACAATTGTCACCCCAACAAAATTTAATTAAAAAAAAAAAAGATTCTGAAATGTGGAAAGAAGAAGGCAGACCACAGAGAAACTTGGGACCCAAAGAAGAATTTGATGATGCTCAGTTCTCTGGATTTCCTTTTCTCCTCATATATCTCAGACTTGAAGTTAAAATAAATAAATAAATAAATAAATAAATAAATAAATAAATAAATAAATAAATAAATAAATAGCAACTTAAGAAAGGAGGGGGGTAGGAGATGGGCAAAAAAGGTAAAGGGAATTAAGAAGTACAATTTTCCAGTCATAAAATAAATAAGTCATGGGGATGTAATGCACAGCATAGGGGACATAGTCAATGATATTATAACTGTAAGGCGAAGAAAGGTTACTAGGCTTCTCATGGTGGTCACGTGTAAGGTATATAGATGTCGAATCACTATATTGTATGCCTGAGACTAGTATAATATTGTATCTTAACTACAATTTTTAAAAAAGAAAACAGCAACTCAGTAACACCAATAGGGTTAGGAAACAAAAGCCCAACGAAGTCCTGCTTTCTCTAGTTAAATGATCGAGAAAAGAAAAGAATAGCAAGACAGGAAACTTTTAGACAATAGTGTTCTACTCCAGCCAAACACCAAAGGTAAAAAAACCCAAAAAAACTGTGGCCCCAGCTCCATCCATACCAGCAAAGGCCGAGTGGGGAGTCTAGACTTCTCCCATCACCAGGCTTTAACATGGCAAAACCATCCCTCTGGGGGTGGTGTTAGAAAAGATGAGTCTTGGGAACCATGACTTTTATCCCCGTAGTGTAGTAACAAGCCCCCCTACCACAGTGTCAGTGGAGACCCGCATAGGGTAGCTTGAACTTCAACTCCTGGCCCAGCAGTAAGAAGATGATCTACCCCTCCTTGATGGGATAGTGTTTGAGGAGGCCAAGCGCAGAGTGGTGACTTTACCACCCTCCACAGTATCAGCGGAGGCCAACTGAAGAACAGAGTGGTATCAGTGGGGGCCTAGTGAGGATCTGGGAACTCCAACTCTTGATCAGCAAGTGTCCCCCTCCTTTCTCAGGTGTCAATTGGGGAAGAATGGGTAACCTAGACTTCTATACTCATAATGAGATGGCACCCCTCCTTATCCTGCAAAAGTCAGAGAAAGCCAAGTAAAACGAAATGTATAAATAAGATTCAGAGTCTCATAATACCCAAAGTATCTGGATTTCAATCAAAAATCAATCATCATCTCAAGAATCAGGATGTCTTCAGCTTGAATGACAAAAGACAATTACCACATGTCAATTCCAAGATGAGAATGTCAAAATAATCTAAGAAGAATTTTAAAGCAGCCATCATGAAGTGCTTCAACAAATAATTAGAAGGATACTTAAAACAAGTGAAAAAACAGAAAGTCTCAGAAAGAAATAGAATATATAAAAAGGAACCAAATGGAAATTTAGAACTGAAATTGGTTATTTATAACAACAACCAAAATAAAACTCAATGGATGGGCTCAACGCCAGAATGGAAGAAACAGAGGAAAGAATCAGCGAACTTAAAGAATTGTTCAGATCACCCATTCTGAACAATAAAAAGAAAAAGCACCAGAAATAAGCAAACAACCAACCAACATCAATAAAACACATAGAGCTTCAGTGATTTAATCTTTGTGTCACTGCAGTCCCAGAAGGAACATGAAAAGAGGAAAGGGCTTTAAGAAAACAATAAGAAATAATGGCTGAAAACTTCACAAATTTGGCAGGAGATACAAGCATTCAAGAAGGTTAATGAATCCAAAACAGGATAAATTTAAAGAAATCTACACCAAGACACATCATAATCGAACTTCTAAAAACTAAAGACAAAGAAAAAATCTTGAAAGCAGCAAGAGAAAAACGACATCTTCTATATGGGGAAAAACAATTTGAATGGCAGCAGACTTATCATTAAGAAGCCATAGAGGCCAACAGGAAAAAAGCACAGTATTTTTACATGCTGAAAATAAGAACTGTTAATACGGAATTCTATGTGCAGTAAGAATATTCTTCAGGAATGAAGGGGAAATCAAACCATTCTTACATAAAGAAAAACTAAGAGAATTTGTCACCAGCATACCTACCCTAAATGAATGGCAAAATGAAGTTCTCTAAATAGAAATGAAACGATAGAAGAAGGAACTCAGGAACAGAAAAAAGGAAGAAATTAAAATGTTAATAGTAAAAATATGGGCAAATACATTTTACTTCAACTATTGTCTGTTATGTTTGATGATTGAAGAAAAAACTATAACAATGTCTGATGCATTTTTAAATGTATGTAGAAGAGGGCTGGCGGGTGGCTCAGCTGGTTAAAGCTCGAGCTCTGAGCAACAGGGTCGCTGATTGGATTCCCACATGGGCCAGTGAGCTGCACCTGAGCTGAGCTGCCGCTGAGCTGCCAACAGGTGGCAGGATGGCTCAGCTGGTGAGGGCACATGCTTTTAACAATAAGGTTGCTGGTTTGACTCCTGCATGGGATGGCGGGCTGTGCCCATGCCCTGCAACTACTAGATTGAAAGCAGTGACTGCACTTGGAGCTGAGCTTGTGCCCTCCACAACTAAGATTGAAGGACAACTTGACTTGGAGCTGATGGGTCCTGGGAAAACACAATGTTCCCCTTCCCCAATTCCCCGAAACTGTTTCCTTCCCCAGTTCCCCAATAAAAATCTTTTAGGGCCAGCCGAGTGGCGCGTTGGTTAAGAACTGACTTGGGATGCCAGAGGGCCCTGATTCAGATCCCACATATGAGGGCCAGTGACACTGACCTCTACAGCTAAGATGCTGAACAACAGCTCAACCTGGAGCTGGGCTGCCGTGAGTCGCCGGCGACGGCATAGGCTGCAGCCCCTGTGGCAGTGGGTTGCCATGGGCTACCATATGTAGCCAGCAGCCAGCGTGAGCGGCCAGCAGCCGCAATGAGTGGCCGTCCAGAAGCCGGCAACTGATCTGCCTCGCCCGGGAAGAGCGCAATGATGGTGCCAACTTGGGCCAGTGAAGCAACGTCCTCCACAACTAGACTGAAGAACAAAAGGACAACAACTTGGCTGGTCCCCTCCCCCAATTCCCCAATAAAATCTTTAAAAAAAAATCTTTTAAAAATAAAAATAAAATAAAATAAAATGTATGTAGAAGAAATATTTATACAATTATATTATAAACAGAGGAAATGGGTGGGGGAAAGGAGCATAAAAGCAGGTAAAGCTTCTACACTTCATTCAAACTGATAAAATGTCAACACCAGTACACTGTGATAAGTTGTATATACATAATGTAATACCTAGAGCGAACACTCAAAAAGCTACTACAGGGCTGGCCGAGTGGCTCAGTTGGGTAAGAGTTGGCTTAAGAGCGCGAGCTCTGAGCAACAGGGCCGTCGGTTTGATTCCCACATGGGCCAGTGATGCTGCGCCTGAGCTGAGCTGCCAACAGGTGGCAGGATAGCTCAGCTGGTGTAACAACAAGATTGCCTGATCGATGGTAGGCTATGCCCACCCACAACTAAGACTGAACTTGACACCTTGAGCTGAGCTGCTGCCCAGATGGCTCAGTGGATAGGGTGTGCGCTCTTAACAACAAGGCTGCTGGTTCAACTCCGCATGGGATGGTGGCTACGCCCACATGCAACTAAGATTGAACACAGCACCCTGAGCTTAGAGGCCATGAGCTGCCGACGGGGAGCCAGATGGTGACTGGTGCCCTCCACAACGAAGACTGAAGAACAGCAACTTGGCTGGTCCCCTCCCCCAATTCCCCAATAAAATCTTTAAAATAAAAAAAAGGCTATACAAACTGATACACTATAGATTAATTATATTGGAACTCTAAAATATTTACATAAACCACAGGCAGCTGGGGAAAAAAACAGAACAAACAGAAAACAAAATATAAAATAGCAGATATAAGCCTTAAATATCAATGGCTACATTAAGTTTAAATGGCCTAAATATACCAATTGAAGAACTGAGATTGACAGTGTGGATTGACCAACTATATGCTGTCAATAAAATACTCACTTCAAATATAGCAATATATGTAGGTTGAAGTACATGGATAAAATCAGTTATACTGTTCAAATACTAATTGCTTTCCCCCTAAGATCAGGAACAAAGAGTGGATGTCATATCTCCTTATTCCATTTCAACATAGTACTGTGAAATGAGAAAAGGCAGTAAGAGGAATATATATTGAATAAGAAGAAATAAAACTGTCCCTATTTACAGATGACATAACTGTCTACACAGAAAATCCCAAGGAACCTACCAAAAAAATGCCCTCAGAACTAACTAGACAGTTCAGCAAGGTCACAGAATACCAGATAAACACAACATTCAAATGTATTTCTACTGGATTGTTGGAAAAGTCATGACAAATTTTTTCTATGTTTTTCATTGCAAAAATGCATCATGACTTTTCCAACAACCCAATATACCAGCAATGAACATGAACACATAAACACCAAAATGAAAAGCACACTACCATTTACAATTGACAAAAATGTAAAATAATTATGTGTAAATCTAACAAATTATATGTAGAACTTTTATACTGAGAACAACAAAACCCAAAGAAATCAAAGAAGATCTAAATAAATGGAGAGTCATATCATGTCCATGGAATAAAAGACTCAACATAATAAATATGTCACATTTCCCCAAACTGATACACAGGTTTAACACAATTCCTATAATAATTTCAGCAAGATTTTAAAAAATATAGACAAGAATATTCTAAAACTTATATGGAAAAGCAAAGTAACTAGAATAGATAAAACAATTTTGAAAAAAGAGAATAAAATAATAGAAATCAGTCTATCCAATTTCAAGACCTATTACATGGCTACCGTAATCCAGACAGTGTATATTGGCAAAGGGACAGACACACAAATCACTGGGTCAGAAAGTGAGTCGAAAAATAGACCCACACAAATATGCCCAGATGATTTTTGACAAGGTGCAAAAGCAATTCAATGGAGAAAATAGAGCCTTTTCAACAAATGGTGCTAAAACAATTGGACGTCTATAGGCAACATAATGAAAAATAAATCCAAGCATAAATCTCACACCTTATACAAAAATGAACACAAAACGGATCACAGACTTAAACATAAAACTACAAAGCTTTTACAAAAAGGTAGAAGAAAATTTGGGGGACCTAAGGTTAGGGAGAGTTCTTAGACTTGACACCAAAACCGAGATTCAAGGAAAATTTGATAAATTTTCTTCAATATAATTAAAAACTTTTGCTCTGAAGAAGACCATGTTAAGGGAATGAAAAGACAAGCTACAGACTGGGAGGAAATATTTGAAAACAACATATCCGACACATGACTAGTATGTAGAATATATAAAGAACTCTCAAAACTCAACATTACAATAGTAAACAATCTTATTTGAAGATGGACAAAAGACATGAAGAAACATTTCACCAAAGATAAATAAGTGACAAGTAAATAAATAAAAAGATGTACTTGTTAAATAAAAATACCTCATACTACTGTATTTCCCCATGTATGAGACATACCTTAATTTTGGGGCCCGAAATTTGAAAAAAAATGTATTACATAAAGTTTCTGAACTCAAGTTTTATCCATCATAAAATTCATACAACTCCTCATCACTGTCAAAATTCCCAACCATAGCCAGTCTCGGATTGTTTTCTCAGATGGAGGAGGACCAAACTTATGTTCAGCAGCATGATTTCCATTCACTTTTGCAAGCTGGATCACTTTTAACTTGAATTCAGCACTGCATGAAAATCTTTTCTGAGCCATTTCTGGGCAGAACGTGGCAAAATGTAACCTATCGTAATATACCGGTAACAAGTGCGAAACAATGAGGGCAAAGACAACAAGCGCGAAAAAGCGGGAAATGCAAGTAAAAAAATCTACAACCACTGTATAAGATGCACCCAGTTTTTAGACCCCAAATTTTTCAAAAAATAGTACGTTTTATACATAGGGAAAAACAGTTTGTTTTTAAGTCACCTTCAGATGGTTAGAGACCTACAGGTGAAAGCAAACATTATAAGATGTTCAAAAAACATACAAGAGAATATCTTCTTGATGTTGGGATAAAAAGAATTTCTTAATCCTTAAAAATTACTCTGACTGTATTAGTAAAATGAAATTCCTGGACCTGAAACTCTAAGGATCATAGAAGTTCCACCAAGGTATCAGTCATCACCCTGAAAGATCCAACTGATCTGTCTTCAATATCTCCATCTGTTTCTATTTCTTTCACTTCTTTACTTAAATGAAAATTTTATATTTATTAACATTGTTAAAGATATTTTAAGAATCATATTAAAATGAAAGAGTTTAAGTAAACAAAATTTAAAAACTTACAGTTCTTCCCATTCTTTCTTTCGCTGCTGAATCTTAAATTGGGCTCTTTCAGCTTTTAACATAAGTTTCCTCGCTTTCTCAATTTCATTTTCCACCATAATTTGACTTAGGGTTTTAGGTCGAAAATGCTTCCCTTTTTCTATAATCGAATCTTCTGGCACATTCATATGCCCACCTGTACAGAAAATCAACATTTTTTTCAGTTTTTTTGAAACATCAAAATGAAATTCTTAAATATTGTTTTTAACCTGTCATATTTTTATTTTTTAATTTTTAAAATACAGTTGACATTCAATATTTTATATTAGTTTCAAGTGTACAGCATAGTGGTTAAACATTTATATAATTTAAGAAGTGATCCTCCCAATAAGTCTAATACCCACCTGGCACTATAAGTAGCTATTACAATATTATTGACTCTATTCCCTATGCTTGTACTTTACATCCTATCACTATTTTGTAACTACCAATTTGTACTTCTTAATCCCTTTACCTTTTTCACCCAGCCCCCAACCCCCCTCCCATCTGGCAACCATCAGTTTGTTCTCTGTATCTATGAGTTTGTTTCTGGTTGGTTGGTTTGTTTATTTTTTTCTTTATATTTCACGTATAAATAAGATCATATGCAATTTGTCTGTCTCAGTCTGACTTATTTCACTTAGCACAATACCCTCTAGGCCCATACATGTTGTCACAAATGGTAAGGTTTCATTCTTTTTTATGGCCGAGTAATATTCCATTGTATATATGAACCACTTCTTCTTTATGCAATCATCTATTGATGGACACTTACGTACTGCTACCCCAGCTTCTTTTACATTTCCATTTGTGAAATATTTTTTTCCATCCCTTTACTTCCAGTCTGGGCATGCCTTTCAATAGGAAGTGTGTCTCTTGTACACAGCATATGTATGGGTCTTGTTTTCTTTCCTTTTTTTTTTTTTTTTAAAGATTTTATTGGGAAATTGGGGAAGGGGACCAGCCAAGTTGTGGAGGGCACCAGTCGCTGTCTGGCTTCCCAACGGCAGCTCATGGCCTCTAAGTCCAAGGTGCAATGCTCAATCTTAGTTGCGTGTGGGCGTAGCCACCATCCCATGCAGGAGTCAAACCAGCAGCCTTGTTGTTAAGAGTGCACACTCTATCCACTGAGCCATCCGGGCGGCAGCTCAGCTCAAGGTGTCAAGTTCAGTCTTAGTTGTGAGTGGGCGTAGCCCACCATTGAACAGGCAATCTTGTTGTTACACCAGCTGAGCCATTCTGCCACCTGTTGGCAGCTCAGCGACAGCTCACTTCAGGCACAGCGTCACCGGCCCATGTGGGAATCGAACCGGCAGCCCTGTTGCTCAGAGCTCGTGATCTTAAGCCAACTCTTAACCAACTGAGCCACTCGGCCAGTCCTGGGTCTTGTTTTCTTATCCATTCGACTACCTATGTCTTTTGATTAGAACATTTAATCCATTTATACTTAAAGTGATTATTGATAAGTATGTAATTACTGCCATTTTATTATTCATATTTATGTTCTTCCCACCCTCCTTCTTCTTAAAGAAGTCCCTTCAACATTTCTTGTGATACTCATTTGGTGGTGATGAACTCCCTTAGCTTTTTCTTATCTGGAAAGCTCTTTATCGCTCCTTCAATTTTAAATGATAGGCTTGCTAGGTAGGGTAATCTTGGTAGTAGGTCTTTTCTTTTCATCACTATGAATATTTCATGCCAATTCTTTCTGGTCTGCAAAGCTTCTTTTGAGAATTCAGCCAACAGTCTTATGAAAGCTCCCTTGTAGGTAACTAACTGCCTTTAAGATTCTCTTTGTCTTTAATCTTTACCACTTTAATTATGATGTGTCTTAATTTGGGCCTCTTTGAGTTCATCTTGTTTGGGACTCTCTGTGCTCCCTGAACTTGTATGTCTATTTTCTTCACCAGGTTAGGGAAATTTTCAGTCATTATTTCTTCAGATAGGTTCTCAATTCCTTGCTCTCTCTCTCTTCTCTTTTTGGTACCCCTGTGATGTGAATGTTGTTACTCTTGATGTTGTCCCTTAAATTATCTTCGTTTTTAAAATTGTTTTTGCTCTTCTGATTGGGTGTTTTCTGCTTTCTTGTCTTCCAAATCACTGACTCGATCCTCTGCTTCATTTAATCTGCTGGTGATCCCTTCTAATGCATACTTCATTTCAGCTATTGTATACTTCATTCATCACTGATTCTTTTTTATGACTTCTATGTCCTTTTTATGCTTACTATTTCTTTGCTGAAGTTCTCATTCAGATCACTGAGTATACTTATAACACTGTTTTGAACTCTGTATCTGGTTAGATTGTTACCATGAATCCAACCCCACAATGTCTTTTACAGTATCAAAATAAAGAGATCTAAGTTATAATATTTGCTTTTAAGAACCTTACTGGAAAATTGACAAGACATATATTAGACAAGAAAATGATGGACCATTGACAAATATATTGGGAAGCTGGGGAAAATGTCTATGACATGATAGTAGGGGAAGGGAAAAGCAAGTTAGTCCTATTTGTCATGTACAATTTGAAGTGACATATACCAGCTGATGTGGTCTGTAGCAAATTAAAAAACTGGTCAGAAACATACAATCAAATCTATAATTTTAAAGTTATTAGCTTTCTTAATAAGTGTCTACTGGGGGAATTATTCATGTTCTTAGAGAAACTTCAGAGATACATGAAAATGTTAAATAATATGAGATGGTCATATAGTTAGTTGTAACTCACCATTTCATATTTCAAATATATGATAGTATGGAAAAGGAAAAGTTAACATGGCCTGGATGGTCATGGAAAGGCTTTATTTAAAAAAAAAAGTATAATTTAATCTGGATTCCCAAGAACTGGTAGAATTCAGGGGGAAGGAATGAATTGGTTACCCCAGCAGGAGTCTGGATATGGAAGTATCAGGCATAATTAGGGAGCAGAAAGCAGGACAATAGGCTAAAAATACAACTCAAACAGTATGAGAACACAGCATTAACAGGAAACAGAATAGCGATTTACTGTGGAAGAAAATACATGAATAATGGTTTCAGATATTATCCAAGAGTCAGAAAAGAGCTATTAAACGTTTCTCAATGAAGAGGATAAACCAGTATTAATGTCAGTACTGTATCAGGGGCATAAGCCTAGACCTGGATAGGCTACAGAGCCCTTTATTCTTGACTGGGCTCTCCAAGCCATTCCCTGAATTCTTGTCTTCCTTCTAGTCATCTGTGGTCATCCTGTGGGCAGTTATAAGAGGCAGGTCACAGGTATTAGAGGCACTATTTTCACAGCTGTATCCTCAGCTCATCATTGTGTTTCAAGCACATGCTCTTAAAAAATAGTTTGAAATATTGTGTTCTAGCCCCACATTCTGAGGTGGGGCCCAGAAATGTGGGAAGAAACACTGCCTGGAAACTAGCATCTGGGGAAATCCTAGATTTAAGAATAGGTGGACATAGAAAATAAAAATACAGCAGCATCAGTTACTCATATCCTCTCTCCATCACATGACCAGGGTGGGTTTTCTTTAGCAGCCTGCATCAAATAGGAAAGCTGGTGGAGATCATTTGCTGTCAAAACTTGGCCTCTCATTCTCAGCCACTCCCCTGTCTCTCCTGATTATGTATTCCAAAGGCATAAAAGAAGTGAGACAAAAGACTGAGCTCAAGCCACCAAGATTTCATTTGAAATCTTGAAATGAGGATAGAAAAGCCTTCTTGTCATTTAGGTTACCTGTATCTTTCTGGCCATCCTTTATTCCAGAAGCCTCTTTATCAAACCTCTCTAATTTGCTTCCTCTTGTCTCTGACTGACTGGCGCGTTTGAATCTAGAGTACTTAGAGGGCTTCACAAGCCTGTAAGAGGATATCTTGTGTTCACTTTGTATGGCATGAACCACAATAGCATCACTTTGCAACGAATCATGAAATCTGAAAAAAGAAAAAAGGTATTTGCTGCAATGGTCACCATTCTAATTATTTAATTACACAACTTTAATCATTCTCCATGATTATTATGTAATAAATAAGACCACAATACCCTATGCTTATAAATAATATCACTATATCACACTGGATCCAAAATTTAACCATGGATATACCAACAAGGATGTGATAGAAGTTGCATAGGCCTTAGTTAAAGAGCAAGTAGAATTTTCTTTCTAATGAAAATACTAAACAACTCATCAGTAATTAGTATACCACCACTGCTTTGCTAATTTGTAGAAAAATGAAAACTTTTCAGGCAGACTATATTTAATGGATCATATCAAACTCTGAGAAAACATAATCTACCTCCCCATTATCTCATATATATGTATATACCTCATATATATAATATATATATATAAAAGATAATAGATAGGGAGGTGGGTATATATCATGTTACCCTATTTGCCTCTGTAAAAAACATCAAGCTTAGGGATTCATGCTACTCTCTAGTCCACCTTTCTCATCTATCCCACATATTCTACCTTTTAGAAGTTCTTCACCAATTAAATTGTTGCTGTTTTAACCAAAGTGTCCTTTGATAGATGATTGGATAAAGAGGATGTGGTATATATACACAATGGAATACTATTCTGCCATAAGATGAAATCGTACCATTTGTGACAAAATGGATGGAACTTGAGATTATTATGCTAAACGAAATAAGTCAGGCAGAAAAAGTCAAGAACCATATGATTTCACTGATATGTGGTATATAAAACTGAAAATAACAAAAGAACAAGACAGATGAATGAAGAAACAAAAACTCATAAACACAGATAATAGTTTGGTGGTTACCAGAGAGTAAGGGGGGAGAAGGATGGTAAATGAGGGTAAAAGGGGTCAAATATATGGTGATGGAAAGAGAACTAACTCTGGGTGGTGAACACACAATGTGATATACAGATGATGTATTACAGAATTGTACACCTGAAACTTATGTAACTTTACTAACAATTGTCACCCCAATAAACTTTAATTTTAAAAAAAGTTGCTGTTTTTAGGCACTGGTTCATAATTACCCCATCTTTTAATTTTATAATTTAACTTATTTATATACATAGCAATTATTCCTAGCTTCTTTGCCTTTCCTACTATTCATCTAACTTAATCCTTTAACTCTTATTTCTCCTTTTAAAATGGCTTACTAGGGCCGGCCGAGTGGCGCGATGGTTAAGAACTCGCTTGGGATGCCAGAGGGCCCCGGTTCAGATCCCACATATGAGGGCCAGTGACGCTGCCCTCCACAGCTAAGATGCTGAACAACAGCTCAACCTGGAGCTGGGCTGCCATGAGTCGCCGGCGACGGCGTGGGCTGCAGTCCCTGTGGCAGTGGATTGCCATGGGCTACCGTGTGTGGCCAGCAGCCAGCGTGAGCGGCCAGCAGCCGCAGTGAGCGGCCGTCCAGAAGCCGGCGACTGATCTGCCTCGCCAGAGAAGAGCGCAATGATGGTGCCAACTTGGGCCAGTGAAGCAACGTCCTCCACAACTAGACTGAAGAACAAAACGACAGCAACTTGTCTGTTCCCCTTTCCCCAATTCCCCAGCACTGTTCCCATCCCCCCAATTTCCCAATAAAAATCTTAAAAAAAAAATAAATTAAAAAAAAATAAAATGGCTTACTATTTCTTTTTAATTTTCCCTGTTCATTCATAGCATAGTGTCTTTCTCATTTCTATAAGACTTATTCTCTTTATATTCTTGCCCATGGGAGTTTTTCTACTCTAAATTTTAGTCTTTCCATGAGACCCAGATAACATGAAGGAACATATGGATGGTTTGGATCACATAAAAATTTAAAACTTCTGCACAGTTAGAAAAATATGAATAAAGCTTAAGGCAAAGCATTTACAATATGTATAATAAAAGACAATACTTACAGAAATAGACACTAAAACTAAAAATAAGGGGGGAAATAAACAAAACTCAAATAAAAATGAACAAGGAATCTAAACAGGCAATTCTAAGAATAAAGTTAAGTGAACTATAAACATATCAAAAAAAATGCTGAACCTCATCAATAATCAAAAGAATGCAAATTATTCAACCAAGAGTTATCCTATTTGGCCTATTAGATTGGTGAAGATGAAAATACCGGTCATACCCAGTGTTATTCAGGGGTACAACTTTATCCTCTCCACCATTCCAATCAGATAGCTAGGTGCTTATTATTTCCTTCCATATGTTTATTGAAGACATGAAGCTATGAAGGGTGCAAGGGCCTGAACTAGGGTGGGAAAGCAGGGCATTAAGGAAACAAGTATTTGAAGACAAGGAGAGTGGCAAGGAAGAGGTTCTACCTGAAGAAGACGGGCAAACTGGGTCCTGGAGCTGTGGGCACGTGTTCCCTGCTTCTGACAGCATCTGGGGAGATGCGAGGCCTCAAAGGGGATGGCTGCAAGTGTGCTGAATCCTAAAAACTGGGATCCTTTGAGCCTCACCAAAGACTGCACCAGTGGACCACAGAAACCACAGAATGAAAGAACTGAAAGAAGTAGGTAGGCTGTGACAATGAGCCTCAGTGGTACTAGGACTGACCTTCCTGTCTGCCTGGTGGAATAGGAGCTCAGGGTGAAATCTAATTTAAATAAAATAATAACAGCAGTATTACTCATATACCTGAATCTGTGCATTAAGATTCACAGTTGCTATATACATACATTTACAAATATTCCATGAATATTTATTAAAGCCTAACATAGGATACTATGTGAGAGTTCTTTCTGAGAAGAAATTCTTGCCCACTTTAATCTCTTGGTGGGTAGCAATCTAGATATAATTTAGAGATTTAAGTATTCAAATATTATCCAAGAATTCAAATATTCAAGGATTTAATGCCAGGTAACAAGTGTCAATAATTCACAGGACAGAGTACCAGAGAGGAGCCTGCTAAACAGAGAGGGAGCTCTGGAGAGCTGCAGAGGGCTCCCTTCCAGCCCTCAGGTGAGTCCTGGTCAGCACATACATATGAGGACTCTACCTGAGACTGGGGAAAGAAACACCAGACGGGAGCAGTTAGAATAATCCCAGACAACGCCCCTCCACATACACACACACACACACCCAGGTTGGAATAGCTTGTGTTCCCACAGCCCCATAATACACGGGACATAGTGTGAAGTATGTAGAAGGATTTTATCTTAGTAGTGGGAAGAAGTTAGCTCTAGACTAAAGGCTGCCTGATCCCACCTAATAAAGATTAAAAGCAAGCTTCAAAATAATCAAACTATTTTCAAGTAACTAAATCCCAGAACAAAGATCAAGAGTATTTAAAAGTATGTAAAAAACACCCAGCATCCACAATGTGAAATTCACAGTACCTGGCATCCAATAAAAATTTCTTAGGCAGGCAAAATAGCCAAAACATGTGACCCCCAAATAAAGACAAAAATATCAATTAATAGAAACAAACCCAGAAAAGACACAGATGACATAACTAGCAGAGGACATTAAAGTGGTTATTATATTTTATATATTCAAGAAGGTAGAGAAAAGCATGAGCACATTAAGGTCAGTAAAATCCACACCTATCATACTAGGAAGTCAACAAATAACGATTAATAATAAATTCATAAAAATACATTATTTTAGGTATATGCTAGTAACCACTAGAAGAAATATTAAAGTTGATTCTTTTCAAGGTATATCATGTTATAGATTGAAAACCTTAATATTTTTTAAATGTCTGTTATGTCTAAGTTGGTCTATGGATTCAATGTAATTCCAATCAAAATCTTAGCTTTTTTTTTTTTTTGGTGAAAATTGACAAGTTTATTCTATGCAAAAACTTAAGCAATACTGAGGATGAAGAAGAAAGCTGGAGGATTTACAGTATCAGGTGCCAAGACTAATTAAGATGTGATACTAGTACAAAGATACGAGTAGATAGGCCAAAGGAATAAAGAGTTCAGGAATAGACCCACATATATATGGTTACCTGACTTATGACAAAAACGTCACTATAATCGAGTGAGGATGAGGAAAAGATGGTTCTTTCAGCAAATGATGCTAGGTCAATATAGAAACAAATGACACTTGATCTTTGTCTTACACCACCCACAAAAATTATTCAAGATAGATAACGGCAAAACAATAGAGATTCTAGAAGAAAACATAAACTATTTCATGAATTGGGAATAAACAAAGATTGCTCAACTATAACATAAAAGTACTAACTAAAAAAGTTAGTGAAAATATATTTTTTTAAATATGCCATTTTATGTTTTCATTTTATTTTTTTTTAGATTTTTTTTATTGGGGAATTGGGGAAGGGGAAGAGCCATGTTGTTGCCCTTCAATCTTAGGGCGCAGCTAGCTCAGCTCCAAGTCCAGTTGCCATCCGGCTGCCTGTCAATAGCTCACAGCTGCCAAACTCAAGGTGTCCGTGGTCAATCTTAGTTGTTAGTGGGCTTAGCCCACCATCCCATGCGGGAGTCCAACCAGCAACCTTGTTGTTAGGAGCACGTGCTCTCACCAGCTGAGCCATCCTGCCACCTGTTGGCAGCTCAGTGGCAGCTCGGCTCGGGTGCAGCTCACTGGCCCATGTGAGAATCGAACCGGCAACCCTGTTGCTCAGAGTTCATGCTCTTAACCAACTGAGCCACTCGGTCGGCCCTGAAAATATTTTTTTTAATTAAATGTATTGGGGTAACAATGTTTAGTAAAATTACATAGGTTTCAAGTGTACAATTCTATAATACATCATCTCTATATTACATTGTGTGCTCACCACCTAGAGTCAGTTCTCCTTCCATCACCAAAATATTGATAAATTGAAAAAAACTGATAAATTGAATTTTATTGAAATTTAAAACTTCTGTTCAAAAAGAATAAAATGAAAAGACAAGCCAGGCTAGAGCAAGATACTTTATATGCATACATACATATATGTGTTTCATATAGATACATGTGTGACATGTATACATGTCATATATATGATAAAAAAACTCATGTCCGGAATATATAAATAACTCCTACAGCCCAGTTTTTAAAATGAACACAAGACTTGAACAAACACCTAACAAAAGAGACTATACAAATAACCAATAAGTATAATCAAGTTGAAATGAGGTCATTAGAGTGGGTGCTAACATGACTGGTGTCCTTATTAAAAAAGGAAACTTACACATAAATGGAGGGAAAATTATATGAAGAAACAGAGAGTAAATCATGTGAAGGCGGATGATTTGGCATGATACATCTACAAGCATGTCCACATGTCCACCAAAAAATATGTACAAGAATGTTCATAGCCTCATTATTCACAGTAGCCAGAAAATAGAAGAAACATCTCAACTAAATTATCAATAGTTAGATGGATAAATTGTGGTATAACCATTTAATAGAATATTACAAATCAATGAAAAAAATGATCTACTGCTACCTGCAACAACCTTAGGCATGATACCAAGTAAAGAAGCCTGTTTCAAAAAGTTTATATTGCGGGCCGGCCAAGTGGCGCAGTGGTTAAGAGCTGGCTTGGGACGCCAGAGGGCCCTGGTTCGGATCCCACATATGAGGGCCAGTGACACTGCCCTC